GCTGCGTGAGGCTTTTTTCCTCCAGTTGCACTCCTTTGAATGCCATATTTAATTAATGTAAGACCAGTGCCTGTACAGTTGTTTAAAGCACATTCTCCCTTTTGCTTTTGTACTGCATCTACAGCCTGTGACCCTGAGCAGAACAAAGTTTTTAGTTCATAAAAGAATTTCTTAGTGCAGTTTAGGTCATTAGATCCAGTTGTGAAGAAATAAGACACAAAAAAAGACAAATTATGTTCAGTGAAACAGAAGAAATGTATGTAGCTGCAGTCCAGAAGGTGTGTCTGGTAGGGAATTTGCTGAGTTGATTGCCTGAAACACAACAGCTCTAAAGAGTTTGTCAAGGTTTAATTCAGCACCCAGGAGCTCGCAAATTTCTATCCAAAACATAAATAGTAACTGCAAGTAATATGTGCTAGAGAAGGTAACTTAATTGTACTCATGAATTTTGAGATCACTGGATTATGTACTCTATGTACTCTTGGATGTCACTAAGTGGTAAAAGTACTATCATAATGTTGTTACAGTGACTGTCAGTCTCTTTATTTGTATGAGAACAAATTCTAAAGACTCCATCCATTTAGATTTAAATGGATGCATTCAGAGGCATCCATTTAGACACACAGAAACTGAATACTTACCTTTTTATTTTTTTAATCATGTTAAGGTCTGTGTTGCTTACACATCTGTTAAATTTAGTGAAACAGTCAAGCTGGCCTATGAAGACCTATGTTTCTTGGTAAATTCACTTAGTTACAAATTATTTTGGGTTCTGCTGCTTTCCCAGAATTCTTCATATGAAGAAAGAAAGACACCAGGAGTTAGTTTTGTGTAACTTAGGAAACATTAGGTAGGTAGATTGGTAGGATTATGCCTAAACTCAAATATGTATATAGAGAAAATATACTTCTATATGTGAATATATCTTTTTTACTCCTTAGAAACTAGTTTTAAGAATACTTCTGCAATGATGAAAGGTTGTACTACAACATGGTTTCTATGTCCTTTTTCATTCTTATGTCTCCATTCCTCTTGTAAGTGTTTAGAGACTTTAGTATAATTTTCTTCCCCATGTAAAAAATTGTCAAGACTTGTCCCTAAACTCAGTGCATCTTACAGCTGTGTGCAAAAAGCTCTACATACCTGTCCTTGCTCATGTTCTCAAAACCAGCTCCACATTCTGGCAATGTGGTTGTCAGAAACTTAACACCTGTGACCTGAAGGATGCAACAGTAAAGGTTACAGAGCATAAATCAATATGATTTTTTTCATGTAATGTTCTTTTTGACCACTTTCTATCCATGTATTTTATAAGTATTCAAAGTATAATGTGTTTAACTAACTGAACTCAAGTTTGATTGAAATGTACAGACACAAAAAGATACCACATCATGAAGAAAACTATAATCTAGTTTTTATTTTCCCTAGAATTAATACATGCACAAAACCAATTAAAATATAATACAATTTTTAAAATAATACATAATATTGGTATATATTTTGTATATACAGAAATTTACTCAGAAACAGATTTTAAATTACTAACCATAGCTTGGTGAGAAACTTTCTTGTTGCTCATTTTGAAATAATTAACAAAATGTTAGATTCTCCCCGAAATCCAGACCATCAGTGTAGAAGTAAATCATGCAGGAACATTTTAATTTAGTCAGCTTTGGGGCTTTTTCCTATAATTTTAAAGCAGAAGACTTTTTATTTTAATATTTTCAGGACTCGTCCTCTGAGCCTTGCAGTATCTATAGCTGTGGAACTGTCTCTGTTTCAGGCTTCTAAGTCAGCAATGAACTAATCATATTAAATACTTTTCTGGATCTTTTTTAATTTGGACATTCATTATAGCATGTTAGAAATTCATCTTTCTTTTATTTCTAACAAAATCTTCTTAATGATTTTTCCATAGAAATATCTAGGGAATATTCTTTTAGTTTTGTTCTTGTTGAATTAGTTGCAGTTTCTCTCCAGAGTTTTATCCTTGGACCTCTTGCTGTCTCTGAACATGTTTGTCTTTGGCCTGGGCCCAAGAATTATGTGTTCCCCAAAACCACAAGCCTAAATCTGTTGACAAGTGAGTATATCATGGTCAGAAGGATGGAACTGGTAGACTGCCATTCAGTCCACCCACTCTCATGACAAGGATGTGCTCTGTGGTTCTTTGCACATTATATTTGGCTTCAAACAAGAAAAATGACATCCCTAGTATATTTTATAGAAGCTGTTCTAGAGGAGCAACTTAACAACCTTATTTTTATCATCTAGTTCATATATCAAAACCATAACTATATCCAAATTATACCCTAGAAATTTTGCCAGTTGTGGTGATAATTGTCTGTTCGATGCAATTTTTTCTCTTTCATGGCACTTTCTTATATAACCGATTTTGCTCTGTTTCTATAGTAGATTTTTGGTGTTAGATATATCTACTAAATTGTATTTTGTAATACACCATAATGGGAGACTTATGATTGTCGTAAAGACTTGATGAAAATTTGATTTTATTTTTCATAGGTGGAAGTGAGCAGCTTAAGATTCAGGTTCTTGTGGATGTATTCTTCATTTATATAATCTTCACAAAAATTATTTGTATACTTGTAAGTGGGATGATATTTTACAAAAGAAATAACAAACAACTTCATCAGCATAGTATTACTAAGAATCTAGACTGCCCAACACCTTGGTTTTGGAGAAATAGTAGGATTTAAGCTGTGGTTAATTGCTAAAAATAATGATCAAGAAGTCACATATATAAGAAGGTAAAAATGGATGTAAAGAGATTGATTTACAATTATTTAGAGCAATGTTAAAGCTCCATGTTCAGATCTTGTATTTTTTCCTCACCCTCTTTTTTTTTTAACTCTTACAGGTTTCTTGCAGGGCAGGGTGTGCTTAGATTTTTAGTCTTTGAAAGGTCAAGAACCCAAAGAAAATCCTTCTGTAATTTGCAGAGTTTCTCTGAATTTTCTGATCTGAAACCATGTGAAGCAATCTGGAATTATAAGCCTACCCCATTACTGTCCTGTAACTGCATTCTTTACAGCCTGATCCAAATTTTAGGGGTATAACGAAGCATGTTAGCTTGGTTTCATATACAGTAACTGCAATACTGGCAGTAAACTGAGTTTTGTACAGACAATGGAAATGCAGTGTTTGTTGCATTGTTAAAGATTTAGTTTCACATATGAATATTTTGAAATATTAGGTATTTGTGTCTTATAAATTTCTATAGCTTTATCTCAGCAGACTGGTGTATCATATCAAAAATACCACTATGGCTTTAGGCAGGTGCCCTTTGAAAATCATTAATTGTTTTTTCATCCAGAGTGAACCCAGCTTACTCAGAGCTATCTACCTCCCACACATTGCCTGTGTAGTCAGGGTTATCCCCAGAGCTCAGGGTTCCCATTCCATAAGTCAGACCTTGCTGGTGAGGTGGAAGATCCCCATCACATATAAAGTGCACGTTATAATTTCATCAGATCTTGCTAGAGCCCCTGTGACTAGTCAGGAATGGAATGTTGCTGGTTTTCCAAGCAAACCTCAGCTTTTAAGAGGTGGGAAACTGTGCTATAGATACTAATGTTTTCATCTGTAACAAGTTAAATTATATATATCTAGACATGTCATGTAAGTCTTCATTGAGAAAGGGATCTTTATTTCTGTCTTCATTTCTTACGAATGTCACTTCACGGGACATATAACTGCTAAATTTCAGGTTATAATCTTTATAATAGACTGGGTGCTTCCAGCTTAGACTTCAAGGTTTAGCTCACCTGATTTTGTTTTAGTTTAATGGCAGCTCTACTTAGCAAAAATATGTTTCTTTTGAATTTGCAAGTGTTTTGTTTCAAAGAGTTTTTCTATCGGGAACTCCATCCCTCCTGTCTGTTTTATACAGGCTGTTTCTGAGCCACTCTACCATCAAATGAGCCATCAGCTCCTGCCTGTAGTTGAAGGTTAAGGGTAAAAATGAACAGTGTATAAGAAAGGAGAAGTGTCAATGTTGTATCTTTTCAACCCATCAGTATAAATTTCTCTTGTAATATAAAGCTGTGTTTGGCAAGACAGCAGACCATAATCACCAAGGAACTGATTTACTGAAAGTTAATAATTTCAGAGGTCTGGTCATCCTTGGAGGATTCCTAACGAATGTGTGTGGGAGTTGTAATTTCCTTGTATTTTACAGTTGCTAATGTATTATTATAAGAGGAATTCCTCAACAAAGCCATCATTTTGGAGTTTCTAGGTATCAGGAAGAATATATAATTGTAACAATTCTATGCTTTCCTCTGTATTCCCCTTGTTCGAGACCATCAAAAATTCATGGCCACTTTCAAGGTTCCAGTGTCAGCTTTTCTTCCGTTTGACCTGGACCTATAAATGAATCATTTGCATCATCTATTTTGTCATTCACATTTTCGATTGATTTTTAAAAACCCTGGTGTCTTGCATGTTTGCTGAGCTCTGGTCATTTCTCCTCTACTTCTGCCTTCACCTTTTATTTCCATAATACTTGCTGATGCTTTTTCTTCATTTTCATCCTCCCTTCCTTTCTCGTCCTGGGAATTTCTCCATTAAGTTTGAACTCTCCTGTTCACCATAAAGAGTCTAGTTCTATGGTTGAACAATCTTTCAACACCAAGAGATCTTTTTAATCTTCCTCCACCTCCTTTTGAAACCACTTTTACACTTAATTTCCCCCCCAGAATAATTTTAATACTTGTTTTCATATCATCATATCTTCCTTGGTCAAATGACCAGTTGGAAAAAATACATTTACATCACAACATTATGTTACCTTGAGGAGCACAGCAAGGCAGTAATAGCACCTCTGAAGCCAGACTGTACCTATGCTAATTGTTGGCTTAGAGGTCCTTATATATTTTAATTATTTGTCCTACTATTATCCTATAGTGCTTTAATTTTAAATGAAAGATAATAGCTGCCTTATCTCTAAGGAAACTGGTCTTGATTTTATTAACTTACAGGACAGAAGAATAATTGGCACATATCATTGTCCAGAAATGTATTCAACAAAGGTATCTTTCATTGTTTTCTAATGTTTTTACCCTCAGATCCGTAACATTCAGGTCTTGACCAGTTATGGTCATTAAAGATCCCATGGCACTTTTTTATAGTGTGGTCATCTCAACCCCAAGCACCTGGCCAAATATCAATTTGTGTAACTGTTCTGCTTACCCAACATTCCCCACCACCACTCACCCACCCCATAGTTTTAATTGGCTACAACATTCTCCATTTCCTCGACTAAAATAAAGTGTGTTGTTCTGCACTGTCAGTCACCACATTTCACCTCAGAGGTGATTGTGCTTCACTGGGAAGTGAAGTGGTTCTTCTTTCTAATGCTTGTAAAGCGCTTTGGGATCCTTTTGAATGGGTGGTGCTGTTTACAATAAATGTAGTTCACTGTCATTCTAGCTCAGGTGTCACTTTGTTACAAAAGCATGTTTTACTTAGGGTTGGGCGAATCTACTTGGTGGAAAAAACAGTCCCAGCTTTCTCTAATCTGACAGGGAACCTTTTGACAAAGGCTGAAGAGTTTGATTCCTTGATTCCTTCTTTCCTTGATTCCTTCCTTCCTTGATTCCTTCCTTCCTTCCGCCCTTCCTTCCTTCCACACTATCTTCTTCCCTTCCACCCTTCCCTCCTTCCCTATTCCTTCAGGTTGGAAATTCAAAATATCATGAGAAAATGCATTTATTCTTATGGTCAGTTCATTATTCCAGATGCAGGAGGGTCAAATTAGTGCTCAAGGAACAGCTGACCTTTGTGGTGTTTATCTGGGTATTGTAACACTTGAAGGTTCGCCCATCTCTAATATTTATTGTATTTTGCATTATTTCTTCTGAAAAAGTCTTGAAATATTGAAAAATGCTGTGATTCAACTCTAATATGAGTGTGATATGTACAGAAGAAGACATTTTTCCCTAGAAGATAGTTTAGAATATTGCTTAATGTTTTTCTGCCCAGCATCACTAATCTTACTAACTGCTTCCAAGATTATAGACATCTGCAGCATTTTGCTGCATTAAGAAAAAAAGTTGACTGGAGTGAAATCATGTTGCTAAAACATGTCTGTGTCTAACTCTAGCAGACTAAAATGGCCTTTCTTGCATGTGTGTTGCACAGAATGTATGCAAATATGTAAAGAGCACTCAAATTTCTAATATCATTGCAGATCAAAAGGATAAAATGCTTAAAGTAGATTCATCCTAAGAAGATTTAAGATGTGAAAAAAAATGTTGGCACTAAAATATTTTCAAAAATAGTATCCTAGAATGCACAACATTGAGGTGAAAATAACCCAGGCTCTGGGCTAAAGGGTAAACCCATTACATTAGTGGATGTTACATCCAACTTCCCCTGATGTCACTGGAACTAAAACTTCTTTCCTTGAGGTTATATGAAAATACAGAAAATATAGTTTACAAATGACTTTGCACTCCTCATGTAGGGAACTTACCTCCTGTGATTTTAGACATTTTGGGATCAAAAAATGCCAAGTGCCTTGTAGTTAATTGTTTTATTTGTAGGACCCTGAGAGTCATATGATTGGTCTGAGATCTAATAACAAAAATGAGTCCCCTTCCATTTTACTCCCAAAATCACAAAATTATTTTCCAAATAAATACACTGATTGGAAAATAATGTTTGAAATCCATCTTGAGAAGTTTCATAGATCAATTTGAAAGCTTTTGCAGATATATGCTTTTGTTAGAATTACAATTGGACTATTACTTATCCAATGCAGACGAGAACTGATTTGATGACCTTCCTGGATAAATGCAGTGTTCCCTCACTATGCTCAAGATCATGCTGCAGAGCTCTTAAAGGAATTTTTCTTGCATTCCAGCTCAACTTTCACATTTTTCCAGTGTTTTTCAATTAAATATTGATTTCCCACATTAGGAATTTCATAAATTTCATGTAGCTTTCATAAAAAGCTAACAAAAAAGATTGTATTTGACATTGAGTCATGACATTTGATTTATAATTAAAATATAATGAAACTAGAGGGGTGCAAACTCATGCAGATTGGGGGGGAAAATGTGACAGAGGGAAATCTGTCATCTCAGCAACACTAGGCTTTGTGCATCACTTGAACAGATGTAATCACTCAAATAACAGTGTTTCAGTAGGTCCAAAGTGCCCCTGTGAGTGTCTGACTTCACAGTTCAGAACACTGGGCAGGGGGATGCTACTAAAAAGCAACTGGTTTAAGCCCAGTTCTCTCATCTTGCCATGGTAAATATTACATAGGGGGTTTAATAATGGCAAATACAGTCTGCACTAGGAGGTACCACTGCACGGGGGTACCTGCTGCTGACAGCTACATTTCTAAATATTACAGAATATACTAATACCCTGTTATTGTTTAGAAATCCACAAAGGTCACCATTTTTGCACTTTGAGTAATAATCATATAATATATTTTGTAAATGATAAATTAATAATGTGGCTGAATTTTTCTTGAAGGAGCTCTGGGACAGTTTTTTCTCTTAATTGGCCCAGAGTATATCTGCACTACCATCACTAATTCAATGTAATTAATTAGCTTCTCATTAGCTAGTATTGTTTTTAAGAACTTTTAGTTAATTATAATCTGTTATCACACAATTCAAAATACATGCTTAAAGAAAAGGCTGAGAAGAGTTAGAACTTCCTAAATAACTTCTGTTTTCTATAAATGGATTATTTTTAAAATCTCCTTTCACACTCCAGATCTTCTCCAGATTGCCTAAGAGTGGAACTTAGTTCCTTATCTTTGAAATCCTCTTTAGTGTCTAAGGGGTTTCTTTACAATATTGCTTTAAGATTTTTTTTCACTGCATTGACTTTAAAGAATGCATAGTACCAAAATCTGCCCATTGAAACAACTGTTCAGTGTGCATTTGATGTGATTACATTCTGCATATCTTTTTCCTTGCTTGAAATTGCAGATCTCTGCTATTACAGCAGCATGCTATTACAGCATGCACTGTATTGAAGAAATTTATTAGTACTGGGGCATGGAGTTTCCACATAGCTATAGTTAGACTGTGCTATTGCCTTTTCCCAAGTAACCAGCACTCCTGTTTGGAATATGGGGACCTAAAATGTACATTTTCTTACGCAGTGCTCTGTACCTCATTCATAGAGGCAGAGAGACCTCATGAATAATGGAAGTTTACGTCAGAGCCAAAACTTTCATTTGAAAGAAGAAAAACCAAAACAAAGCAGATCCTTTTCCATTCAGTTTCCTTCCAAAGCCCATGAAAATATATTTGCCCTCGATATCCTACTCAGTGACAGAATCTCACTTTCAGGAGCTGAGTGTGTTCTCTGTTCCCAGGTATTGCTTGTGCTTGCTGAGCATCGGGTCTAGGGAAATACCATTTATTGCATTATACTCTGCTGGCCCTATTTCTCCTTGGGGGCACGAATCAATGTTAATAAATATAATCACAGCTAAGCTTAGAGTCTTTCGGGCTGACATCCAATCAATTACTAATGTTAGATACGGCCCTTATCAGCATGGCTTCAGTTTGCAACCGACTGGGCTTCCTTTCCTTCTTGCTAAATCTGCCGTCTTATCTTTTCCAGATGGATCCACATGAAAACATATTGTTGAGCACGCTTGAAATCAAGAACGAGATGGCTGCCTCGGAGGCGGTGATGGGGCTCGGGGACCCTAGGAGCACAATGCTGGCCTATGACACGTCGAGCATCCAGTACCGCAAAGCCGGCTTGCCCCGGCACAGCTTCGGCCGCAACGCCCTGGAGCGACACGTGGCACAGAAGAAGAGCCGGCTACGGAGACGCGCGTCCCAGCTGAAAATCACCATCCCTGACTTGACTGATGTCAATGCCATAGATCGATGGTCTCGCATATTCTTCCCCGTTGTTTTTTCCTTCTTCAATATTGTCTATTGGCTTTACTATGTGAACTAAGAAACAAAGCCACGCGGGAAGAAAGAACTGGATTTCTCTTCAAATCAGTTGTACAGCCAAAAGTGGGACTTGGAAAAAATTCTATTCAGGACAAAAAGTTATTTTAAAACACCTTAGTTGCTGGCCCACTCTATGGTCTGTTTTTATAACATTTTGGTTGTATCTGCTAAACCATATATATGTTAAGTTGCAGTATGGACATATCCCCTTATCAAAATATAAGTGCATTTTGAGTGTAAAGGCAAATTGCGTTTTGAAAATCACTTCTGTCTCATTTTCCCTCACTATTTTTTTTTTCCAATGGTTGTTTGAGTTTAGTGATACAAATTATAGAGCAGCATTTGAGAAACAAGTTTTAATTTCAACAGCAGTACATATTTTAGGGAAAGTACATATCCAAGGCATGCATATACACTTAAGAGTGTTCCAAGCTACATGCTTATGAAACACATACACTTTACTTTTTAAATGTGTAAACTTGAAAACAAGTAGTGCCTATCATCTTTCCAAGATGATGATGGTCAGAGGTTTCCCAACCATATTCAGGTATTTCCTTTTATTTATTTAAAGAACTGAACCTTTGACTGATAATATTGGGGTTGGGTGTTTGCACAGATTCTGAAGCAAGAAGCACTAGTTTGTTTGTATTTTAAAGAGAGAACATATGCTCAGTCACCATGACTGTGTTTGGGATCAATAGAGGAATGTAGGGTCTGTATAAAAATGCATCAGCACTGAATGGGTAGATGCTGCTGGGTTGTGTTGGGGAAAGGGAATCTGTCCAAAGTGCCAAAATTGATTGCCCAAATAGTAATTCTGCAGATGGCTGAAAGAAGCCAGTGGTGTTCTGCCTTTCTCTAGGGCAGGGAGAGTGAGAGAGCAAGTACAAAGTGCAGGGGCAAGGAGAGAGGAGGTAAACACATAAAAGTGTGTATGTATATATATATATATATATATATATATGTATATATATATATATATATCACAGATGAATGTTGTCAGTTGTACACACCTTAGTCTGAAATAGTCATGTGGAGTTGTGTGATTTCTTCCAGGTTTTCATCTTTCCAGCATTATGCTTTCTGCTGTTAGGTAAAGGTTCTGTATCTCTTTCAGCAATCGAGATCTGAGCATATGTATTTCTGTACAAGAGGTACTGAGAGGGTGTTTTCTCAGTCTGGATTAGGCAATACCATTTCACTTTTTGTTTTCCTTAATGCACTGTTCTAAAGGAAAGTAATTCCTAACAATCACTTTAAGAGTTTGAGTACACTCTTGAATGTTTCTTGCTTTGGGGTGATTTCCATTGAAAAACTAGAAAATATCAGTTTTTCTTTGGGAAGCTTCTTGAATTAAAAGGTTGAGATTTTCTTTCAATCCATTGAGCTTTATTTTTACAAAATAGTAAAATAGAATAAAAAAGAATTATACAAAACATTTTGTCACTTATTCCATTGTAGAACTCTTCTTGTCATGAAAACAGCAGTCACTAGAGCTGTAAAAAAAAAATAACATTTCTTGATGGCTTTTACTAGATCAGATCCCCAATATTGTTTGACACAATGTTTCAAGAAGCAAAAGCCACATCTGTTGAATCCATACTACCTCTCATCTGTGTACAAACTTTTGAAAGAGACTAGAGAGTATAAGTATTTTTTTTCAGGGTACTAAAAAAATTCTTTAGAATATTTTTCCTAAAATATATTTTTTAAATTTTTTGTTCTTCAAAAGAGTAATTTTCTTACAAGTTTCTGTGGATTTATTTTTGGTTTCCCCCCACCATTTGACAGTGAATGACACTAACAGGAAGAGAATAGTTCTGGGAACTAATAAGCAAATATTCTGACTTTTTTTTTTTTTTTTNTTTTTTTTTTTTTTTTTTTTTTTTTGAGCACTTTATATGCTTATTTCTGGTTTAAATAAGATAGGATAGTTTTGGAGCCTGGGGTGGGATTTGCAATACACTCTGCCTGCCAGGAAGTTGTGTACATTCACACACTGCCTCCAGGCTCAGACTCTGCAATATGTAGAGACATGTTTTCTTCATGTGATTAACTTTCCAAATCAAAATTTTGCTCTTTGTTCACATACTTAATTTGTGACTGCATTTCATGCATAACGCAATAACCTTTGTAGATGCACTTGGGATTTCAGCTGATAGGTATGAGTCATGTTGGATTTTTTTTCCCCAATTTTACTCAATGGCATATAACAAAATTCAGCATTTCTCTTCAAAGTCTATTTTTTTAAAAATTATATTAATTAACCTAAATGAAAGCAGTCTTATGGTATTCTTCTGTACAAGCTTTTCTTTCAGTTCAGAAATTGTTAACAGCTCCTTTTATTGTTTCACAGAAGCAGAATGTGACTGCAGGGAGTTCACAGCCTTTCTGTGGTTGATACACATCAAATATAAAACCTTACAGGGAATATGTTGACTCTCTGCATTGGTAACTGCTTCAGCTATTACAAAAATCACAGAGAACAAATCCTGGAACTGCACATTCACTTTTCTGAAGCTACAGTACAAGCCATAATACTCTCTGATATTGCTATTCAGAGAGTGAAAGAAAATGTTTGGTTTCTGCTCAGGTGTCACTAGGAAAGATAAATTATCTGTGGGGAAGGAGCACTTTTGCTTTTACTATGTTCTTCTGGCTATTAATGTGATTTATAAAATTAGTGAAAGAGAAAGATTCTACCATTTTGTACTAAGGCTTAACACTGTGATATAAAAAGATGGGGGTGAGAAAGGTTGGTGAGGCACTATCAAGGAACGAGTATTACTCGAGCTCCAGGTAAGCACTTACTCCTGAGATACTTGAGTGAAAGTGGGAAATGATGCCGACAGGAGATATGGGGTTTGGTATGTGTGCTACCCTCCAGGTAAACTAGAATAAATTTGCTTTTACTTTAGAATTGATCGAAAATAAATATTCTAGATCTTTTTAATCGTGTTAATTGTTGTTGGTTTCAATAAACAAAATAGCAAAGTTAATAATTTAGATAAAACTTGTAATATAATTATAGCCGCGCATTTTATTGTTCTATTAGACATAATAGCCAGCAATTAAGGTGTTTTTCATCTTTGCGAAATTCATGGGGGAATTATGACTATAACATGGCACAGTTTTAATGAAATCTTTGAGATCAATCTGTAAATATATACTGTACATGACTGCTAGTAAGTATGATACACATTTTCAGAACTGAAAACTCATGCAACATATTTCTGTGTTTGCATAAGGAATGTTATGTTTCTATCCTATTGCAGTTCAATGACTGGGAAGAAAGACTCAAGCAATGACATTGTGACCATTTATTTTGTCATTCCCAGGGGAGGAAAACAAGAGTCCTAGATAACAGCATGGGGCAGAGTTCTTCAGAGAGTTCTTACATTCTAATTAAAAAATACATAAAATCTGTAAGGTACAAAAGCACAATGCATAGAGAAAGTAAGTGGTGGTCTTATACCTGGGGAAAATATCCTATTTATTTCAGAAAAACACGCATTAAAATTAAACCTCAATTTATTTTCACTATAAATATTAGACTGTGTTCCAATCCTATAACACAGTGCTAAATATAAGTGAACAGATGTGAAACATTTTCCAACTGTATGTGCATATGGACGTACCCCCAAATGTCTGTATGGACATATGTGTGTATATATACACGTGCTGAGTATATATATATATATATGCACACACATTCACATGTTGGTGTGTTAAAGGAATAAGCTAATAATAGTTTTGTTTCTATCATCAACCAGTGTATGAATATATTTTTGAGAAAAAAAAGAGAGTAATGTATTTAGAAAAAAACCAAACAACTAACTCTACAGGGTAACTGGGCATTTCTATATCAGCAGTTCAATGCTTATGATTCGTATGGAGTATTGCACCGTTTGACATGATGATAGTACTGTACCTCCTTGCATCTGGAATTAGACTAGTCCTCACATTGCTTGCCTATTTCTTCTCTCTCTTTTTATAACAGCATTGTCCACTAGTAAGTTTTCAAAACCAACAGATTCCTTAGGGAACCAAGAAAAAAAAAAAGTCAAAAATAGTAACTATTTCTAGAAAATAATCTAGGGTGGGATGGCCAGGGTACAATACTATATCAGTAGTGATCAAAACATTTTGCTATGTGTACATAGAACATACGATGTGAGCAACCATAACTTAAGCTGACCGTGTGTAAATATTATCAGATTTCTTAAACATTTTTAACTTCTAATTTGTACTTTATGGTAAGGCAAAAAGCTAATTCTACTTATGGTTTAGGTTAATGTGTCCTAAAATTATGTAAATAATTAAATAAGCTGTAAATGAGCAGTCAATAGATACAGTATTTGTTTAGTGACTTTTTTTTACTAAGTACAATAATTGCAGTGCTCTAGCAGAGTAATTTAAACACCCTTTTGCATAAACAGATTTGGACTCCAGATATAAAATAGTACGGGAAGTGCTGTAGTGTAAAATAGCCACCGTGGCAACGTTCCTGCTGGCACAGCTGATTCTTTTGTATGGTTAAAATGTTCAGGCCACACTCAGTACTCAGATTAGCCAAAACAAACAGGGCCTGGGTTTCACTTGCAATGAGGCACCTCGATGTTACTCCAGTGAGTGGAGAGGTGGAGGTGTCCAGGTAAGTGAGAATTCAGCTGTTGGCAATTTCATTACAGAAGCCTGCATATTGCATCTGTCTGATTCTGAAATCTGTCTCTTATGGTATTTAATAATAGGTTTATATTTTTCTTTAAGAAAAAAAAAAAAAAAAACAGGATGTTTGACTGTCGTTAGATAGCATAGTCCCCCAAAGCCAAAGAATCTTCACTCCAGAAATTGTTTAAAAGGGAAATCTAAAAAGTAACTGCTTAACACCAAAGGTAAAGCTTAGTAAAATGCACTAGGAACTTTGTCTAAATTTTTAAGAAGCAAATGGAATGTTGATCAAAAAGACTGCCCTATTCTACTTTGTAAAAATACTAAGAATTTAAATATCCATTATATAAAATTGAAATAGATAATCTCTACAAGAATATGCAACACTAGCATTTCATAAATATAAAATTATTTTCTTTGTAAGTGCTTTGACAAAAAAATGGAACTTAAATGATGAAAAATCTCACCTCTACTTTCATACTAAGGGTTGTATTTTTTTAATGTTTTTCAGACATGAGGTCATCTATTCCAATTTGATAGCATTTTGTATGTTTTCACTGTTCCTGTCATTTGGCAGATACTCACCAGGCTGTATGGTTCATGGTCTGTCCTGTTACTTTCAGTTAAAGACAAAAAGAACATTTGAAACATGATTAATTCTGACAAACTGCCTATGATTTGACTTCTATCACGTTTTTATTGGCATGGGTGTTTAAATGGTTCTGTTAGTACTGTCTTTGCACAGTTTTGAGTTATCTTTTACTTAGTACTATTTATTTCATAATGTAGTAATCATCAGCCTTACTAATGACCTTGTAGCCTTTCTTATATGCACATAATGCACATTTTCCAATGGCTAGAAAATGCAAAATACTAGTGGATATCATTGCATCAGATCTTCATGTCTTTCTCAAAAGGACTGCTAACCTCTGGGATTTATGAGGTAGTAAAATGATGATTGTAAATGAGTAGCACATAAGAGATATTTTCTTGAATTTAAAATTATTGCAGCCAGTTTCAGCATGTAAATATATAATAATGTTGGCTAGTGTGTAATTCTTGAATTTAAAACTATAAATAAAGAAAACCTAAAATATGTACATGTAGTTGTGTTATGTTGGGCAGGCTCTTTTCCCAAAGCTGCAGGTTTCAGTTCTCATCTGAAGTGAATAACTTTGAGTTTGGGTCAGAAAAGGACTCAGAAGTTGGGTGTGGAGGCACCTGAAATGTAAGTGTAGGATGGGGAACCATGATATGGTGTTAATTTGTCTGTGCAGCCCTTGGGGAACTTGAGTGTCTGGGGAGTGTAAGCAACGTGCAGTGAGGAGCCTGGTGCTGGTCAGTAAGGAAAGGCTGAGAGCAGGGGGAGCAGCTGAAAAACCTCAGAGGTTCAGTGACACCTCCTCAGAGTCAACTCTTGTGCAGCTGTTACTGATGGCGAGTTGCTGGTGTCCCCCTTAGAGAAATATGGAAGGGTCTGTTTGCAGGGGGATGGTATTTCCTTTTACAGTAATTGGTCTTAAATCTGAATATGTGGACTTCAGATATGGAAGTCCCAAGTTTCATTCCTTCCTCTTCCTACTTAGGGTCTAACAGGAGAGATTCTGGATGACAAATTATTGTCCATTTCAGGATGGTGGATTTAGATTTTCCTGCTGGAGTGGTTCAGCTGAAGAACAATTCGAGAGGAGCAGAGGAGAGGAGAGAGCAGTCAGGAATGCTCATGAGAGGCTCTGAATGTTTTGGACAGGGATTAGAACCTGGG